TCCCATGACCTGAATTTCCTGCAGTTTTCTCTTCCTCCCTCCTTTGTCCTAATTCTCTATCTTTGGTTATTCAGGAGGGCCAGCACCCTCTGCCCCCATAAGGTAATGTGGCAGTGACTCAGGACACGCAGAGAGAGCATAGGCAGCAGTGTGTCGTTTCCCCTCAACATCCTTGGTAGAATCATCGTGTCTGTCTCATTCACAAGTTGTTGTTGTTTTTCTTCTTCTTCTTCTCCTTCTCCTTCTCCTTCTCCTTCTCCTTCTCCTTCTCCTCCTCCTCCTCCTCCTCCTCCTCCTCCTTCTTCTTCTTCTTTTTCTCTTCCTCTTCCTCTTCCTCTTCTTCCTCTTCTTCCTCTTCTTCTTCTTTTTTTTAGCGTTAGCAGTTTTCAACATCTGCATAAAATGATGTGTAAAATACAGTCTCTGCCTGTCCTTAGAGAAGTTACTATCTAGGGGGAGTGAAAGGTCAACTACAGAAAAGTGTAGAAAATGCTAAGAAGGGTGGGGTGTTTGAATAACATATAAGGGGGCACTTACCCAGTCTTACAGTATAGGGGCTTTCTAGAAGTAGAGTCTAAGATTTAAAGGGCACGAGTGACAGAAAACCCAAAACAACAGTGACACAAGGTGGTTTATTTCTGTCTCACACAGAACCTAGAGGCAGCCATCCTGCGATGTCATGGTCCATTATGGAATCAGGGCTCAGGTTTCTTCTATTTTGTTGTGCCACTAGTGTGACCTCTATTCCTATGGTCACCTCATGGTTCAGGATGACTACACTTGTTCCAGCCATCATGCCCATGTTCTGCCTTCCAACATGGTACCAATCAGTGAAGAGATTGCTGGATATAAACTCAAGCTAATCCATCAATAGCGTTTCCTAATTATTTTCCTTCAGAAATGAAACACATGCAGAGTTAAAAATCACATAGCAGCTGGGCGCGGTGGCTCACGCCTGTAATCCCGGCACTTTGGGAGGCCGAGGCAGGTGGATCACCGGAGGTCAGGAGTTCATCAGCCTGGCCAACATGGTGAAACCCTGTCTCTACTAAAAATACAAAGACTAGCTGGGTGTGGTGGCAGACGCCTGTAATCCCAGCTACTCGGGAAGCTGAGGCAGGAGAATCACTTGAACCTGGGAGGCAGAGGTTGCAGTGAGCAGAGATTGCACCATTGCACTCCAGCCTGGGAAACCAGAGCAAAACTCTGTCTTAAAAAAAAAAAAAAAAAATCACATAGTACAAAAAGGCTTATGACAAAAAATTAAGGTCACCTGGCCTGGCCCTCCCTACCCCTCAGAAACAATTTCAACCTAGCTTTCAGGCAGGTGCTGTCAATGGGAGTCACTCTGACATTATGTACCACGTGACACGTTTGCAAAACCAACATGGCACCCCCAAAGGAGTCACTAGTGTCTCAGAAGGGTCAGCAGCAGCTGAGACTGCCTTCTTTATGGACCCCTTCTGTTACAAGAAGGAGTTTTGACAAATTTAGTTTGATAGAGTTTAATTGAGCAAATAATGATTTGTGAATCAGTCAGCCCCCAGAACCAAAATAGGTTCAGAGTAACTCTGAGGCTGCCATGTGGTCAGATAACATTTATGGATAGAAAACAGAAAGTAGGTTGGGCGTGGCGGCTCATACCTGTAATCCCAATACTTCGGGAGGCCGAGGCTGGAGGATTGCTTGAGCCCATGAGTTCCAGACCAGCCTGGGCAACATAGCGAATCTCCATTTCTATTAAAAAATAACAATCGTTAAAATTTAAAAATAAGAAAAAGGAAAGAGATGTCCAGAAAACACAAGCGAAGTACAGAAAGAGTTGGACCCGTTATGTAAGCACAGAACCAGCCCCACCTGGTTCAACTTTGTGTAATAAAGTGGTGAGTTGTTTTTTCAGTTGCCAGGATCCCAGGTTGCAAGTTATGTAACCTGAGCGTGCCCAGATGAACCAAGCATGCAACCACAGGCGCAACCTAAATGCTCAGACCAAAGAACGGGAACGGAATTAAGAAGTAGATACATGGTATAATCCATGATCTAATCAGATTGAGGCATGGCATCATCCCATGGCAAGATCTAGTCAGATCATTGCTCACTGCAAGACTCAATCAGATCATGGCTCATTACCCTCTGCCTATAACACCTGCCACAGCCCCTGGCTTGGAGAGACAGATTTGAGCATGTCTCCTCGCCAGTTGACTTGCAACAAATCTTCCCGTCTACAAAAACCTGGTACTTCGGTGTTTGGCTTTCTGAGGGCAAAGGGATCCAGTTTGGTTCCCTAATAATGACAGATTGACATTTGCCTTATTGGAACAAGGTTTGAACAGTTGGCTGCCTGTGATTGGCTGAAACTCTGTGATTGGTATGAGTAGGTTCCAGGTCACTGTGTACGGAGAAGCCTTTAGGACAAACTTAAAATATGCCAGGAGAGAGCTTTAGGTTAAGCTTAACACTTCTCCCCTTTTGGTCAACCTCTTGATTTTGAGAGGTTGGAAACTTAAGACATTGACATCAGTTACCATTGTAAATAGACTTATTTGGTCTCAAATCCCGCTGGGAAATAGCAGAGCAGTGGGTTTCGTAGATGGGAAAGGAAACAGAATAGAAACAAAACAAAACAAAAAAACAAAAAAACACCTGATTAGTTAACATCAGGTCACTTCAGGGTCCTTTTTTAAAGGGTTAGAGCAGAGACGGCTTCCTAATTATGCTGCAATCTCCTATTTCCAGGGGGAAAGGGAGGAGATAGGGAATATCGGTAATTCTGTAGAATAAATGGGTGGGGGAAAGAGATTAACTAGTAAATGGAAATGAGTGTGTGGTGGCCTTGGGGCTCCTCAGTCTGAGCTCAGTATGGGGCTCCTCCTAGGTTCTGGGCTTCCATCTGCTTCCCGCTCCTTTGGGGTCCCTCCGAGCAGCCTCCCAAGGTCGAGCTGTGTATTGAGCGAGTCCTCGGGGCCACTCGGAAGACAGTGGACGTCCGCGCCGGCGCACTCGCCCAGAGCGGCCTGGTCTCCGCCCAGTGGGCGGGGCCTCTTCCGGGGGGCGTGCGGCGTGCGCGGGAGGGGTCTCGTGGGCGCTCCCGTGGTTGTAGCACCGGTGACTGCGAGCGTGTGTGTGTGGCACGATATCGTGGTAACCCAGAGGCGCGCGAGGCGGGGCGCCCAACGGGGTGGCGGGGCGAGCACGCGCGCCACTGAGGCGCCGGACGTTGAAAGGGGGGTCACATCCGGCAGGGGGCGGGCCTGGCGGACCCCGGAAGTGTGGGCGCGGCTGCGGTTTAACCCGCGGTGGCGGCGGCAGCGGCGGCGGCCCTGGCAGGTGAGCCGGGACTGGGGAGGGTCCCAGCTCTGCCGCAGGCGGGCGGGGCGGAGGACGACGGTGGGGGCGGCGCCGGCGGTGGCTCCCGGAGCGCCCCCGCCTGCCCGCCTCATCCTGGCAGAGGCCGATGATTGGGCACGAGGGGCGCGTGACTCGCGCCGGGGGCCGGCGCCCCTGCCCCTAGCGGTGGGAGGGACGCGGGGAGAGCGCGAGGCGCCGCCCCGGCTCCCCTGCGGGTCGCACCTCGCTTCACCCCTCACCGCCACCCTCCTTTCTCCATCTCCGCAGGCCCTCGCCCCGTATGTGAGCATCTTGCGGTCACAATTCTGATGACATTAGAGCCAATTAGCCCATTGTATAGATGGGGAAGCTGAGGCCTAAGAGTAGGGTCTGACTTGCCAGAGGGCACGCGGGAGACCAGTGGCAGGGTGAGAGTTGGAGGGACTTGGTCTTTGACTTACTGGCTTGTGCCCTTTCTCCAGGACTTTGAGAGAGCAGACTTTCAGCTTTGGCTTTGTTCAGGACTCAGACTTGGACCTCCCGACATCATTGACCATTTCTTACCGCGGGACCCTCAGGGCGCAAAGGGCAGTGATGCATACACACCCATTATATGCCTGGTTCCTCTCCATTTCCTCCTCAGCAGATGAGGAGATTTCCCACTTTACCGATGGGAGAAGGAGTTACCTGGAGCTGTTTTGCGAGTTACTGGCAGAGTTGACTCTACAACCTGGGGTTTTAGTCGCTGAGCTGAGGCAGTGCTTTCCTAGCTACACCTTGTCTGGGCTCACATACCCTGGGAATGTCAGTCTTCAGCTCCAGAAACTTCCCAGACTCATTTCCCTTCTCTCAGTTCTCCTGTTGCTGCCTAAGGCCTTTTCCACCCTTTTTATTGGCTCCTGGAGTCCCATTTCCTACTAATGCATCAAGATGCTGCCACCAGACTGTCATTTCTGTGACTCTTGGCCTTAGAGCTGGAGGTGGTGGTGACCGAGGAACTGGGGAAGGAAAGACTCTTACTTTGTTGTCCAAAGCTGCAACCCTGCAGAGACCTGAACTCTGTAGTTCTGGGTGGGATTGGGGACTGTTGCGGTGAACATACTGGACGCTAAAGTGAGTCTTTGTTCTTTGCGGTGGTAGTGCTCAGAAAAGCCTTTTTCCTAGATTATTTTGGAAATGTGATTCCATGCCTTTGTAATTTCCATTAAGTAGCACATTTTCATTGTAGACTTTCTGAGCAGTTTCTGCCGCTGTTTTGCGGGTAGCAATAGCTGTGATTTGTTGCTTGGCTTCATATGCTGGGCATTTTTCTAGGGCTTTCTGAACATACCGAATTTTGTGAACATGTCCAAATAGGCGATGATCCCATTTTACAGATGAAGTAAGTTGCAGAGGTGTTAGATAACCTGGCTAGTGTCACACAGCCAGTAAGTGATCAAGTTTGGATTTTTTTTTTTTTTTTTTTTTGAGACGGAGTCTTGAACTGTTGCCCAGGCTGGAGTGAAGTGGTGTGATCTCCGCTCACTGCAGCCTCCGCCCCCTGGGTTCAAGCGATTCTCCTGCCTCAGCCTCCCCAGTAGCTGGGATTATAGGTGCCCGCCACAACGCCCGGCTAATTTTTGTATTTTTTAGTTCAGACGGGGTTTCACCATGTTGGCCAGGCTGATCTCGAACTCCTGACCTCAGGTGATCCACCCGCTTCTGCCTCCCAAAGTGCTGGCATTACAGGCGTGAACCACTGTGTCCAGCCGCAAGTGGGATTTCTAAGCCATCAGTCTCATTTCGAAGTCAAGGTGCTTTTAACTGTGTGATACTGCCTCTCAGACCCTTTAGTTTACCAAAGGTGCTGAACCTTAAGAATAATTTCTGATGCTTGTTAAAAATACAGAGCTCCACCTCTAGAGATTCCTGTGCTATTGTCTGGAGGAGGGCCCAGAAATCTATTTTTAACGAACGCACTGGGTGATTCTTACTGTAAGGCAAGTTTGGGAAACACCGCCTGTAAGAACTTTGTAGATTTGCTAGGCCACTGGTAGCTTGGAAGTGAGATTATTCCTGAGGATTCTTGTTTTCTTTTTGTTTATTGCTTTGAAATTTGTTAATTTGGCCTTAAGAGGCCTTTGGGTTAGCTAGCCGTATGAATCATTTCTGGACACTGTTGGCCAGTAATAGTAGGGGTTTTCCAGGCTGACAAAATCAGATCACTGAAGACCTGGCTTAATGGATTTAGCTCTTTTAATCCAGTTGGATCTCTGTTGTGTGGAAATTCTGTTAGAAGTGTCCTTGAAAGATGTGGCGTTTCCACAAGGTTTTGGTCTGTTCCCAGGTGCTTACCGAATGAGAGAGAGGTGTCTAATGGCAGCCCTGTCTGAGGTTTTGCTAGGTTTAAAGGCGTGTTTACTTGGTAGGTGCTCCTTCCAATTCATATCTCACCTCTTTGTCTTCTTTTACTGGTTTACGTGAAAGACTAAGCAAATATCAAACAGGTTTGTCTTGATTTAGCCGAGGCTGACAAGTAGGACCCCTGGGGCTTAGGATGGGCTGGAGAGGGAGTCTCCCCAGTGAACATCAAACAGATAGCTCAGGCAGGTAGGGCCTACCTTTGAAGACCTGTAAGTATTTTCAGTCCCGCTACTGATTTATCTGGTCCCACCTCAAGCAGGATTACAACTAGTCACAGGTAAAGTCAGCATTATAGGATTACTTTATTCTCCTGTCTGGTAAACACTGATTTCTAATTTATTTTCTTTTAAATAGAGAACATATTTCCCTGTTACATTTGCTGAGACTTGTTTTATGGCCCAGAGTATGGTCTATCTTGGTAAATGTTCTGTGAGCCCTTGAGGAGATTGCCTATTCTGCTGTTGCCGGATCAAGTGTTCTGTAACTTTCAATTCAGGCAGGTTGGTTTGTAATGTTCAAGTCTTCTGTGTCCTTACTGATTTTTGGTCTTCTGTTCTTTCAGTTATTGAGAGAGGGACATTGACACTTCTGATTATAATTGTGGATTTCTCCATTTCCCCTGGTAGTTTTATCGGTTTGTGTTTCACATGTTTCGAAGCTCCGTTGTTAATTGCACAAACCTTTATGAGTATTATATTCCATGTATGAATTGACCTTCTTTGTTGTATTGTATTAGGCTGTTTTGCGTTGCTATAAAGAAATACCTGAAGCAGACGATTTATAAAGAAAAGAGATTCATTTGGCTCACGGTTCTACACGCTGTACAAGAAACATTGCATCAGCATCTGCTTCTGGTGAGGACTCAGGAAGCTTTTACTCGTGGCAGAAGGTGAAAGGGGAACAGGTGTGTCACACAGCCACAGAGGGAGCAAGAGAGATGCCAGGCCCTTTTAAGCAACCAGCTCTCATGTGAACTAAGAGAGCAGGAACTCATTACTGCGGGGAGGGCACCAAGCCATTCATGAGGGATCTGTCCTGTGACCTAAACATGTCTCACCACTAGGCCCTACCTCCAACATTGGGAATCAAATTTTAATGGATTTGGAGGGGGCAGATAGCCAAACTATATCTTTTACCATGAAATGACCCTTTTAGCCCCAGGAAATGTTCTTTGCTCTGAAATCTACTTTGTCTGATATTAGTATAGCTAATCCAGCTTTAAAAAATTAGTGTTAGGAATTGATTTCCAGAATATGTAAACAACTTCTGCTACTTGGCAACAAAAAACACAACCCGATTCAAAAATGGGTGAAGGACTTGAATAGATATTTCTTCAAAGAAGATACACAAATGGCCAATAAGTACATGAAAAGATGCTCAACTTCACTAGTCATTATGGAATGCAAATCAGTACCACAGTGAGCTACCACTTCACCTATTACGATAGCTATTATTAAAACAAACAAGCAAACAAAAAAAACAGTAAATAATAAATGTTGACAAGGATGTAGAGAAATTGAAACCCTTGTGCTTTTTTGGTGGGAATGGAAAATGGTATAGCCAGTGGAAAACAGCACGGCAGTTCCTCAAAAAATTAAACATGGAATTGCCATATCATCTAGCAATTCCACTTCTGGGTATATACCCAAATAAGTGAAAGCAGACACTTGAACAAGTATTTGTATACCCATGTTCGTAGCAGCATTATTTACAATAGCCTAAAAGTTGGGAACCACGCAAGTGTCCATGGACAGGTGAATGGCTAAGCAAAATGTGGTATATATATTAGATAGAATATTATTCAGTCTTAAAAAGGAAAGAAGACTTGATATATCCTGTGATATGGGTGAACCTTGAAGACATTATCCTAAGTGAAACCAGCCGGTCACAAGAGAACAAATATTGTTGTATTCCTCTTACATGAGGTTCCTAGAGTGGTCCAGTTGTAGAGACAGAAAGTGGAATGGTGGTTGCCAGACGATGGAAGAAAGGGAGAATGGGAAGTTAGTGCTTAATGCGTACAGAATTTCGGTTTAGGGTGATGAAAATGTTCTGGAGAGGAATGGTGGTGATGGTTATACAACAAAGCAAATGTATTTAATGTGAAAGAACTGTATACTTAAAAATGATTAAAATGGTAAATTTTGTTGCGTATAAAAGGGTTTTTAAAAATAGAAGATTTAAAAATTATGGTATATCTCTTAAAAAGTGTTTTTACTTCTAAACAATTTGTGTCTTTATATTGAAAGTGGGCTTCTTGTAGGCAGCATATAGACGGGTGTTTTTTTTTTTTTTGAGACAGAGTCTCCTTCTGTTGCCCAGGCTAGAGTGTAGTGGTGTGATCTTGACTCACTGCAATCTCCTCCTCCTGGGTTCAAATGATTCTCATGCCTCAGCTTCCTGAGAGCTGGGATTATAGGCATGTGCCTACCGTGCCCAGCTAATTTTTTGGTATTTTTAGTAGAGACGAGATTTCGCTGTGTTGGCCAGGTTAGTCTTGAACTCCTGACCTTAAGTTATCTGCCCACTCCTCCCAAAGTGCTGGGTTTACAGGTGTGAACAACTGCACCTGGCCGGGGGTTGCTTTTTAATCCAGTCTCACAAGCTGCATTTTAATTGGGATGTTAAGACTATTTAGATTTAATGTGATTATTGATACGGTGAAGTTTAAATCTACCTTCTTGCTGTTTGTTTTCAATCTGTGCCATGTGCTTTGTTCCCTTTTTCCTTTCTTATGACTTCTTTGGGATCGAGTAATTTTTATGATTCCATTTTGTTTCCTTTGTTGGTTTATTCTAACACTTTTTTTAGTGGTTGCTTTAAGATATATAGTATGCATCTTTAATTTGCCACAGCCTGTCTTCAAGTGATGTCATACCACTTTAGTGCAAGAATCTTGCAATAGTTTACTTTCATTTCCTTCCTCCTGGACTTCATACTGTTGTCACCTGTTTTACCTCTACACATGCCATAAATCCCATAACACATTGTTATTTTTGTTTTAAATAATCATTTTTTAAGGAGATTACAATGTAAAGTTCTTTTATATTTACTCATCTGTTTAACATTTTTGGTGCTCTTTATTCCTCCATGTAGATCCACATTTCTGTCTTGTTTCATGTTCCTTCTGACTTGAGGATGTCCATTTAACATTTCTTGTGGTGCTGGTCTGTTAGTGATGGATTCTTTCAGCTTTTGGGTGTCTAGAGAAGTCTTTATTTTGGCTTTGTTTTTGGAAGGCATTTTCCCTGTATAGAATTCTGGATTAACTATTTTTTTTTTTTTCAGTGCTTTAAAGATGTTCCAGTGTCTTTTGCTTGCATTGTTTCATATGAGTAATCTGCTGTTTTTCTTTCCTTTTTTCTTCTTGTTTTTTTAAGAGGCAGAGTCTCACTCTGTCATATAGGCCAGAGTGCAGTGGCATGATCATAGCTCACTGAGGCCTCAAACTTCTGGGCTCAGGTGATCCTCCCACCTCAGGGTCCCTAGTAGCTAAGACTACAGGTGTGTATACCATGCCTGGGTAATTGTTTTAAATGATTATTCTTTATTTTTGTAGAGATAGGGTCTTGCTATGTTGCTCAGGCTGGTTTTGACTTCCTGGCCTAAAGTGACCCTATGGCATCGGCTTCCCAAAGTGGTAAGATTACAGGCATGAGCCACCACACCTGGCCTGTTTATTTTTATTTTTTGCTCTTCTGTTTTTAATGTATCTTTTTCTCCTTCTAACTGCTTTTCTTTCTTTCTTCCATTTTTTTTTTTTTGTTTTTTGAGACAGAGTCTCACTCTATCATCCAGGCCAGAGTGCAGTGGCATGATCATAGCTCACTGCAGCCTCAGATTTCTGGGCTCAAGGGATCCTCCCACTTCAGCCTCCCAAGTAGTTGGGACCACAGGTGTGTGCCACCATGCTGGGCTAATTTTTTATTTTTTCTAGAAACAGGGTCTCACTATGTTGCCCAGGATGGTCAGAAACTCCTGAGCTCGAGCAGTCTTCCCATCTTGGCCTCCCAAAGTGCTGAGATTGCAGGCATGAGCCACCGTGCCTGGCTCTGACTGCTTTTCTGAGTTTAAACGATGTAATGATGATGTGCTTTTGTGTAGTGTAGTTTTCTTCATGTTTTTTTGTGCTTGGGTTCATTGAGTTTTTTGGATTTGTGGGTTTATAGCTTTCATCAGATTTGGAAATTTTTCAGTCAGTAATTCTGCAAATATTTTTTTCATTCCCTTTTCTCTTTCCTCTCTTTCGGGGAATCCAGTTACATGTATATAAGGGTGCTAGAAGTTGTTCCATAGCTCTCTGATCATTTATTTTTCCCGCTAGTCTCTTTTTTTTCTCTCTGGTTTGTGCTGGATAGTTCCTGTTGCTATGTCTTCAAATTGACTGGTCTCTTCTGCATTGTCTAATCTGCTGATACTCCCTTTCAGTGTACTTTTTATCATAGACATTGTAGTTTTCATCTGTAGAAGTTTGATTTGGGTCTTTTAAATATCTTCCCTGTCTCTAACATGCTTAATCTTTCCTTTTGCTTCTTGAACATATGGAATACAGTTTTAGTAACTGTTTTAATGTCCTTGCCTGCTAATTCCATTATCTGTGTATTTTTTGGGTCTGTTTCTATTGTTTCCCTCACTATGGGTCTTATTTTCTTGTTTCTTTGTATGTCTGGTAATTTTTAATTGTATATCACATGTTGTGAATTTTACTTTATGCGGTGCTGGATATTTTTGTATTTCTATATATGTTCCTGGCATTGTTTTGGAACACTGTTAAGTTACTTGGGAACAGTTTGATTCTTTAAAGGTTGCTCTCAAGGCTTGTTAGTTGGGGTCAGAACAGCCTTAGGCCCAGGCCTGATTTTTCCTCACTACTGAGGCAGTACTGTCCTTAGTACTTTAGCAATGTCCTGTGAATGATGAGGTTTTTCCACTGTGGCTGGTGGGCACACAAGACTATTTCTGTTTCAATTTGAGGTCCAAGGATTGTTGCCTTGGACGGGTACAGGTCAGTACCGGCTGAGAGCCGGAGGGGGACCCTCTGTAGGTTTCTGGGGTTCTCTGTGTGGCCCTTTCCTCTCTGGTACTCTGCCCTGTGAACTCTGGCTACCCTGGCCTCCCTGGAGTTGGAATTCCTCTCCTCCACTCCCTGTGCCTTGGGCCTGGAGGCCCTCTAGGAGTAACTGGAGCAGCTGTAGTACTCAGCTTTTTGTTTTCCACTGTCAGGGGTCACTCTTCTGTGTTGTCTGATGTCCAGCGTTTACAAACTGTCGTTCTATGTGTTTTTTTTGGCTTTGTCTGGCTTTTTAGTTTTTTGAGGCAGGAGAGTAAATCTAGTGCCTCTCCCTCCATGTTAGCCAAAAGTGGAAGTCCCTGTCCAGTCAGCATTCCTTGGATGCCTGGTGTATTAGTCTGTTTTTTCACACTGCTGTAATCAAAAGAACTGCCCAAGACTGGGTAACTAATAAGGGAAAGAGGTTTAAGTGACTCACACTTCCGCATGTTTGGGAGGCCTCAGGAAAGTTACAGTCATGGCGGAAGGTGAAGTGGGCTCGTCTCACGTGGTGGCAGGTGAGAGAGTGTCTGTGGGAGAAACTGTCAAACACTGATAAAACCATCATAGCTCATGAGACCTCATTCACTATCACGAGAACAGCATGGGGGAAACTGCCCCCATGATCCATCCAATCACCTCCCACTAGGTCCCTTCCTCCACATGTGGGGATTATGGGGATTACAATTCACGATGAGATTTGGGCAGGGACACTGAGCCAAACCATATCACCTTGTATGTGCCCAGTGTTGACCTAGGCGCTGGGATGCAGAAACAAACACGACATGGGCTGTGTCCTTGGGGAGCTCACACTCCTGCTGGAGGAACATGCTGATTTCTAAATAAGAAATGCT